CCCATAGAGGATGTCAAATTTGAAATTGCTACTTGGGAAAAAAATCATTGAGGTAGTTTGCCACATTCGAAGGTTCTGTGACTAAGCCACTGTTTATTCTTACATGAAATAGGTTTTTCAGTTTTCTAGCCTTTTATATTGTTGATCATACCCATGGTGGAAGAAAAAAACATGTCTTTTCCATCCACCATGGATCATACCCCATGCTGATTTTGAGGTATTCGTCAGTAGCTTTTAATTTTTGTCTAATTTCATATAAGATTTTGCTGCTCTAATTAGTTTTCTGTAGCCTAAATTCTTTTGTAATTTTTAAAAATATTTTAAAATTTGCATCTCTTTACAACGGTTGCTATGGCAACCGCGCGTTGATTCCCGAACAGGGCAAAGGAGACTTGATGATAGACGGAGGGAGGAATTCCGATAGTTAAGTATAATGAAAGAACTAAAACGGGAAATGATTGATGTTTAGTAATTGTTCTGACACGGTAGAATACAGGCGAAGTTGTCGTGAAAACTGATGAAAATATTATATCTCGTAGTTAATTACCCAATTGTTGCTATGCTATTAGTTTTTGGTCAGTTAACATTGATTGTTAAAAGTTTTAACAAAATTATGTAGGTAATAATGTTGAAACTTCAAAAATTTTAGGAACATTTTCAATAAAAAAAATTCTCCCAATAAATTTAATGATGTGAATTTTAAAATAATAATTACACCAATTAAATAAATTCTTATAACCCAATCTTCTACAGTAATTCTAGTAGCATTTCTTCGAAAACCCTCTAGAAAATCAATAACACCTTAGTTACGTTAGTTTTGCCATAAAAAAACACCACAGCACAGCCTTACAAAATGCAATTTAAAATAAAAATTTCATTCACAAACTTCATCCATAAAACGCTATCAATAAAAAGTCCACATGCGTTATGTAGGTCACATGTCACCAACTAGAAGATCACAATACAGTAGAAATAGTGAGTGGAAGTATACACAATGTTATTACTTACGTCTTTGTGAGGACAAATGACTGGCGGTATAATTAAATCGAGGTAAATTATGAATACTAATTAACCGATAGAGAACAAAGCTTGATCGACTGTCCGGGCCTAGCTAGCTTGCTCGCCTTCATTGTACATTCTACAATCCGGAGCTCCAGAGTGTACGAGGCGCCCCACACTACTGCAGCCTGGTGGAGAGCACGGGAACTAAGTGCAGCCAGGTGTTTGACAGTACACTAACCATCAAGGACCAAAGGTTCTCATCAGTGCCGTCCCTAGGGTTGGCGGCGCCCGGAGAAAACGTGGTTCTGGCACCCCCTCCCGCCCAGCAGTAATAGTCACATTCGCATATTTTAATTCAATGTTAATACAAATAGCAGCTGCACGGCGCCCCCTCAGCCACAGCGCCAGGGGCAGCTTGTCCCGGTTGCCCCCCCCTTCGGACGGCCCTGGTTCTCATGCGAAATCGAAGGGGATGATTATTCTATTGAAAATACAGCTGTTTAATTTTTTGATTATGTTAAATGATTTTTTAAAACTTTCTCCCCAAAAAATCACTTAACTTAAAAAAAAACGGAAAAATTTTTTTTTTAATACTAAACGCAATCCCTATAAAGTGTTTTTTCCAAAATTGTAGAGTTTGAGTTTTAGGTAGAAATGATGTCAGCGGATTTGTACAGATTTGCATAGCTATAGACTTCACCTGGTCCGATTTTGATGGCATTAGTGGTCTTCATTGGTATCTCCAGATGTTTATCTGCCCTTAAAATCATTTTGTTTTACCTATAAAATAAGGAAGAAATAGGATCTTCACAAAAATGGCTCATACAATTTTGATTAATATTAGTCCTTTTGACTCTCAACAAAATAGTACAACCCCCATTGCTATAAAAATACTTTTCAAAAGTCATTGCAACTTTTGGGATTTTCCTCCAAAAATACCATAGTTACTCCTATTTTTTTTTTGTTTACTCATGATACAAAATAGTACATTTGCTTTATTCAATCTGTTTTTAAAAGTTTATTTCAAGTTAAGATCTTACAGTTGACTTTTTACATTCCGATCCAATTGAGTTCAAACATCTGTGTTCAAACACAAACATGTGTAAATACACATATGTTTTGTCCATAGTGAGGTATGAATAAGTCACAATCTGTTTATTTAGCACTGTTTACACAAAGTACCTGGGGACCGAGCTTTGATCGGGGAAAATCGTTAGTTCACTCTGAAAGCACCTTATTGGAGATACATAAATCCACACATCTACGCCCTACACCATTTCCTACGTCATGGACCTGTTTCCCTCCATTCCCATTGCATTTAAAGATTGCAGATACCTTAATCTAATCGTCATAAACAGTTCCCACACTCCGGACTACTCGCCTTGACTACTTCCTTCACCACTTCCTATGTCGCGGACCTGTTTCCCTCCCTTCCCATAGCATTTTAGGATTGCCCATACCCTTATCTAATCGTCATAATAGTTCCAACACTCCGGACAGCTCGCCTTGACTACTTCCTTCACCACTTCCTACGTCGCGGACCTGTTTCCCTCCCTTCCCATTGCATTTAAAGATTGCAGATACCTTAATCTAATCGTCATAAACAGTTCCCACACTCCGGACTACTCGCCTTGACTACTTCCTTCACCACTTCCTACGTCGCGGACCTGTTTCCCTCCCTTCCCATAGCATTTTAGGATTGCCCATACCCTTATCTAATCGTCATAATAGTTCCAACACTCCGGACAGCTCGCCTTGACTACTTCCTTCACCACTTCCTACGTCGCGGACCTGTTTCCCTCCCTTCCCATAGCATTTTAGGATTGCAGATACCCTAATCTTATCGTCATAAACAGTCCCCACACTCCGGACTGCTTGCATTTACTACTTCCTTCATCACTTCCTACGTCACGGACCTGTTTCCCTCTATTCCCATAGCATTTTATGATTGCCTTTACTACTTCCTTCACTACTTCCTACGTCACGGACCTGTTTCCTTCCCTTCCCATAGCATTCTAGGATTGCAGATACCTTAATGTATTCGTCATAAACAGATCCTAGACTTCGCACTGTTACCCTTGACTACAATGTATCGATTAATCTTAGTATAATCTTTGCTCAATATTAACAAGTGATGTTTTTCCTTTTGTACTGTATTTGTAATTTGCTAGTATACTGTGGGTAGTTGGCTTATTATGAACACATGCTACAACTTCAAGTTTTTTGTTTACTTTTTCCTTGTTATTTAATTCAGCCAACATGGTTACCTAGCAACCCATAAGACTAATGTAAAAAAAATGTGATTTTCAGTTTCATTTTTCTACGTAATTAGATTTTTGTTGGCAGTTCTAACTGCATGAAACTCGTTTTTAGGCCAGAAATGAACTATTTACAACATTTGAAGAAAATCGTCGGAGCCGTTTTCAAGATCTTTGTGCAAGCAAGCAAGCAAACATTGCTCGTATTAGAGTATAGGATTGTTGTATTCCTTTTGTCGTTATGCCTAACTGGTTATTGGTTTTAAAAATCTCAATATCTCTTTAAATTAACATTTGCTGAAGGACTTTTAGCGATTTCCCTATAGGGAAGTAGCTATTACCGGGGCCAGGTGATGAATTTTTTAAATTTTAACCCTTTGAGTGCCAACGTCCGGGGAACCGGACGTTTTTAAAACGAGCCAAAAGTGCCGACGTCTGGCCGACCGGACGTTTTTAGAACGAGCCAAAAGTGCCAACGTCCGGCTGACCGGACGTTTCGTAATGATCGAACAGTTGTCATAACAACCGAATGGATACTCGGATTCTTTTAACCCATATATTAACATTGAGTCGAAAGTTACTAGATGCGATACATCGATTTTTGTTGGTCGAAATATCGAAAATTCAATTTTTACGAAATTTTAACCTAAAAATCGCCAGATCGCGCTCGGCATTTTTAGCGCGACCTTCGGGAAAAATCATCGGCATTTTTTGAGCGTTACTTTTATTTCTCGCCTGGCACTCTAAGGGTTAAATGAATTTTTTGTGCTTAGTTTTGAGCATATTTTAATTTATAAAGGGATTCTGCACATCTACAAGAAATCACATTTCTAACAGTATCCTTAAATTTTCGATGTGATGCACACGAGCTGAGAAAAAAGGTTTTAAAGAAACATGTTTGCCTATTAGCCTATTAATATATCGATTCTGCTTCTGATGGGTCACACTTACCTTCTGCAATGCACGGTATCATTACGGTATCCAAATGAGAGTCCATTGTATCATTGACTATACACAGAATAGACTTCCCATGTAATGTAAAAATTTGAAGCCAAAAAGAAACGTGGTGCAATTTGTTGAGATGGTCTACCAAACCAACTAATAACAATATTTTTCATCACTCCTTAACGAAAGTAACTATTTTCGAGAACATAATTATAATATAATTATAAATTAATTATAATTATATAATTTTATTATTTACTTTTATGTTGTTAAAAGAGGTGCGGTGAATGGACAGTGAAGCTATTTCTAGCTGTTTGATACAAGTGAGTGATTAAAGGTGTTTGAAACACAATGAATATGAGATTAACAAACCATGTATGTTGTTCGTTCTAAGAGGTTGTGACCGATCTTTAACAGGTCACAATTTCATTGAAAAGTATTATAAGACGTTGTGAAAGAGAGCGGCGGGTTCAGGTACAACCTTACCCACCTCGGCCACCTTAGGACGTAAGGTATGAAGGTTCCACTGCTTTTAGTTCGAACTTGGCCCCTTTAAATTAAATATAAAGTCAAAGTTGATTAAATTAATTTAATGGTGGCTTCTGTACACCCGTGGATTCGCGGGTAGAACCTCTTGTTTATATTTAACCCAATACACAGTAAGCTTTGGTGAGATATGGTCCTGAACTTAGTTTATTTTATTGGTTTCAAATTTTTATATCACATGGGAAGTCTGTGTATAATCAATGACTGTATTGATAAAAATATGATATAATTTAGGAAAATCAACATGAAAAAAGTGAACACAGTTTTTTATTGAAATACTACATTAAGTAATCAAAACCTAATCTATCAAAACTTCAAAATGTACAACTCCAATTTTCTCTTTTCTGTCGTGTATAAGGTTTCTTGCCCAGGCTTTGCATTCTACGTTTATAATGACACCAGCTGAAAACACAATGTATGTATAGTTAGACAATGGATACAAAATAAATGAAGATATCATAAACATAACAACTTATTTACTAAAAATAGAAAAAAATTGCAAAATGTTTTCACAGTTTTGAATGAAAACTGCATTATTAGTCATCCTCATTATTTTATTGATAGTAAAACTAAATCATAAACTTAGCACCATTAATTTTACTGTTATTTATATGTTTTGACCTATTGATTATTGAACCTTCCAAAGTCATGCTAATTACGCTAAATTATGATGGATGACGTAAGGTATGTAAACATATTTGTCATGTAAATCATACAGACTGTGAACTATTTCATCATACTGACTTACTATTATCAGTTGTCAATCATTGAGATAGGGACGCAGTCTATGTGCATATTTAAACCCAAATTTGAGCGAAGGATTGGTGTAGAATTGAGTGAGATGATCTGTGTGGCTTTGTTACTGACTAAGATCAGCTGTTATAACTGTAAGCACTTACTCTTAGGTCTGATGAACTGTATTGCCACCAGAGGGCTGAGATATCCTTCAGTGTTGACATAAGGGTAGAAGTATCCCGGAAAACCTTGTTTAGGGATGTATCTTATCTCCCCAATGTTCTCCTGGTCAAGTGGATGTTCCCCTTCGCAGGTCACCCAGACTGTGTTAAGCTGTAACAGTTGTTTTGTTTAATGTCCTCGCCATCTAAACAAATCTCAAATGTTTAATGATATACTAGTAGTTGAGCCCATTATCCTGGCTTCAAAGTCCAAGATGCTAACAACACACTCGAAAGATAAAATAGCCATTGAACATGACTTAAAATTAATTAAGTTAACAGTTAATTACCGATTAAAAAATGTTCTGGAAAGCTTGTGAACTAGCTTAGAGTAACTAGCAAAGTTTTTAACAATACTAATGACTCATAGATGTAATGAGTTCATGTAGGTCTAATAGTAGTATCACTAACATTAGGAGTAAGTTATCATTAATACTCAATAATAGTTTAGCTTGAGAAATTCCATTCTTTGGTTTCTTTTAACACGAATACAAACACACAGACAGAACGCAACTTTATGGTTTGGAATTTAATTAATTAGTAATTGGAATCTAGCATACAGGGAAAATAGATTGTCAATGAAAATGAATCATTAACACAAAAACACACAACACTCAACACTCACAGCACACTGACAAACAGAGAAAACAGCTAGCCTATAAATTGGTTTTTAATCCAACTCCAATTCTAATCGGAACGGAACCAGATTCAAAACTAAATTTTAGTGAGGGTTCGGGTTGAGTCACGGTGGGTCACGGCGGCTGTGGTCACGGTCACCTCTAACTTAACTTCTTACTGGAGTTGGTGGAGTTTCCACCATGGGTTGAGTCCTTCCAAATATCACGAAGAACAATCAGCAGAGAATTGATCTATATGGTATGTCAGAAACCATAGATTAAATTATACTTAATACTTTTCTTTGAAATGGCGACCATAGGAATGTATATAGGTATTTGAGAAATTCAATACCATTTATTTTGTATATTTTGTTAGAATATTTATATTTTCAAAGGCCTCATGCTGACTGGAATAACCAAAAATTCCGCCCATTCCCAATTCAAACAACAAGACGAGATCGTCCAGAACACTCAAACTATTTTTTGTCCACAGTGAAGAGCGATACCGGTATTGTCTTTAAGCAAATTTGGGCGAATTAGGATTAGTATATAGTATCTAAAACTATGCGCTTTACAATAAAACGTAGTTATCCAAATCAAACAGTTCGTTCATTTTTAGTGCCACGTATTCTACCCTCATCTCTATTAATGCTTGGCTTAAAATACCTACACTCGTATATGGTTGTCATTTCAAAGTAGGTAAATTATGAAAAAGTAATGTCGACAGCGTATCGAATAAAAATTAGTGGTAGTACCCGGTATAACGGTATAGCTATATTGAAGATCGCAATTCTGTTTTGTATAGATTTACTGAACAACCCCAATCGCTGTATAAATTATTGTATACCGGTAAGTTATTGTAATTTATGTGGTTTCCCATTGAAAATGAAAATCCATAAAATAATGGGCAAATCTTATAAAAAAAACGGACCGAATTAAAAAATTTGATATGTTAAGATCCTTATGATTATAAAGAAAAAAAATACCACCCCCGTTGCTGAAAAAAATTAGTTTAAAAGTGATTGCAGCTTTTTGTGATTTTCTTAATCATAGCTACTCCGCTTACCCACCATGATAAAAGTTGTTGACAAGCTAATGGGAGAAAATGCGTCAGATTGCTAATACCGTTTATTTATCGGGTTCTGAAGAGACCAAATCACAAATATTTATGAATTCATAAAGTAGGAAATCAGAGATAGGATGTATTAAATATTCATTGTTTGTGTTTAACATTCTCAAAGATTAAATTAAATTAAACTGCTCAGAAAATTTGAATTTTATTCCAACAAACCCACTAACCAGCCATAAAAATGGTACCTTTTTTGTTCTAGAAATACACTTGTACAAACACACACAGACACACACTTAATCAATACTGTACATAGAGTTTCAGGCGTTTGAGAAAACAAACATTTTTACTTTCTACAGTATATATTTTTATTTTTCTTACTCTATCCGCCAGCTTATAGAAACCTTGTGTGATTGTTTTAAGGAATCAGATCACTGGATCTAAAATATAATTTGTCAGTAAATATCGCGACGATTTAAGTTTAGAATTAAATCAATAGGCCTAATACCATCCTTAATAATAATGATCTACTGTTATTATATACAGTATTACTCCCTTTAATCTATGCTTATGCATGCTGTTCAGGTACGCAGGCCTATATTAAGTCAATTTATTTATTTATTTTACATAAGTAGTAAATATTATTGGACTTTTTTTATCAAAAGGAGGGATCTTTTACGTGAAAAGATAGTTTTTTCTTTTATTTTTAATACAGTAACAAAATTTAATAAAATAAGTAGTACAACAATGCACTCAAAATCGGAGTGATACGCGTGGTTACAACATTGATTTATATTGAATTAATAAATTGAATTGAGAATAAATTCATTAATTCTGTTTCAATATTTATACAAAGATGTAATTTTATATACCAGATTTGATTTTAATTGTTTCCTACATTAATTAATTGCTAAAAAGGTATAACAACATTTTGTATATACCTACTTTTCTTGCGATGAGATAAAAAAGGAAAACCTTTTAGCAGTTTTATTTGCCTTTCATGGTAAAACTATTGAAAATAATAAAAAAAAAAATTAAGATGCAGTATGAATTTATTGTGTATTAAATGAAACGAGAGGTCGTCCAGTGGTCGAAACTCGACCAAAAATATGTAATGTACTCACTTATCTATTTTCACCCCACACTGTAAATAAAACATGTGATTGGAGTTTCCTCCATTTGTTTTGATTTTCTGTTTATATTTCGTTGTTATTTCGTAACCAGCATAGCAACGCATAAGATCCATGTTAATTTTTTCAAATTTTTAAACTCATTTTTTGTGCTTATCTTTGAGCCTATTTAAATTTATAAAGGGATTCTGCACACCTACAGGAAAATAGCTTTCCAACGGTATGCGTAGATTTTCCCTACGATTCACACGAGCTGAGAAAAAAGGTTTTAAAGAAACATGCTTGCCTATTAATATATAGATAGATTTATTAATGTGTTACATTAGCACTGAACTACAGAATCTTTCCCGTTTCCTCGGTCAGTTAAATATATTCCTCTGAAATCTTGGTCTTTGTATCATTCCACTACAATTTATTGGTTCCTGTTTTTATCCCATGTGTCAATGACACATTCTTCTCATATAAAACTACAATAATTTATTTTTGGATCCTGTTTTTCCATATACTCTCTTGCCAAAGAACCACAATGATTTCTTGTTGGAACCTGTTTTTCCTCCTTACGTGCCAAAACACTACAAACAATAATTAATTGATGGATCCCATTGTCTCTGACCAAACGGCGCTGCCCTTGTCATTGCTGGATATCCCTGTTGTCCCATGTTGTTGTTGGGAGGAGTCCTGGTTTGATTAAGTACTCCTGCAGCGATAGTTAATATATTTGAAATGTCCTTTTCTCTCCTTTTGCCAGACTTGCTCTTAGACTTATTTTTTTTCATAGTCATTGTTGGTGCAAAAGCCCTCTCCATGTTAATATTTGAATCAAAAGGCTCAAGTTGATCAAAGCCATCATCTGGTCCACAATGTAATCTCTCCTGACTGACATGTCTCTGACCAAACGCTGCCCTTGTCATTGCTGGATATCCCTGTTGTCCCATGTTGTTGTCAGAAGGAGAAGGTGTTGGTTGAAGTAATCCTGCAGCGATACCTAATATTGTAGAAAATTGCTTTTGTTTCTTTTTGCTCTCAGACTTCTTTTTTTTCATTGTCATTGTTGGTGCAACAGCCTTCTCCATGTTAATATTTGAATCAACAGGCTCAAGTTGATCTAAGCCACCAACTGGTCCACCTTGTAATCTCTCCTGAACGAGCTGCAGCTTTCCTTTTAGACCTTTGATCAGTCCTTGAATTTGTTTTTGATTAGGAACATTTTCCTCGTCCGTGCCCAGGAATGGACCATGTCCATCTTCAATTGAACGTCCCATTCCTTCTCTGGGATAAGTAACTTTTACAATTCTCCTCTTCAACCAGACACCTTGACCTAAGTTAGAACCAAGTTCAGGAACCTGAGTGGGTGTGAGATTCGACTGAGAATCCTGTGGTTGATAATCCATGGCCATTGTTTGCATCACAAGTAAATATTCTGTAAAATGTTGTATCAAACTTTTTAATTAAAGATAGAACTCCAAGATGGTAATAAAAACTGAAATTTTGAACTCTTGCTTGATAGATCTTGTGGAACAACTATACTTGGAATCTATACCATATTTTTTTATTTTGTATATTCTTGTATTGTTTATTATCTTATTACCATGGTTACAATAAACAACTTTGCAATAGTGTACTTTTTACAGCTACAGTTTGGTTGCTATGAAGTTTTATTTGTTTCCCCAAAACTTAGATTCACTAGAATGTTTTGCTATATTTAACCTCACCACCTCTTCAATTGCACAACACTTTTTTTATCACAATTTTATTTACAATCTGTTCATTGTTCGAACATTCAGCAAATACAATAAAAATATTTGGGTTTTTTCAGGTCTACGTGATAGTTGTAATAAAAATTCGGCATTTCCATTTTTACTTTCTCCCCCTATACCATAGTATATGGAGAAAGTATTGTTTTCGTCAAAATTTTCGAGTTTGAGTTTTGAGTGGATATATTCGTTTTGGGTCCCCCTGGACCCAAAAAAGTGGTTTTCGAAGTGATGTCTGTGTGTGTGTGTGTGTGCTTTCGTGCTGCATAAGCTGTGGGGACATGAGTGTGAATGTGACCAGACTGTGTGGACCTGGTCGCTTATGTGGACATCACACACGTCCACACAATTTTCACAGGAAATACATTAACTGTGTGGACTTAGTGATGTCCGACTAGTGGCGCTCCTACAGACTTTTTGGTGAACAAGGAAGGCTGCTGGCGGCTACTAGCAATGGGACTTGAGTGTTTGGCTTCCCAATCTCCTGATATAGAATACTCCTTGTACAACATTTCATAATAAATGAATAACCCAAT